CTCTTTGGGATGCGGGGTTCTCAAATTCCATATAAGAGTCGAGTAACCTGCAGCGCAAAGCGTAAGTAGCTCTGAACAAACGCGAGAGGCACGCACTTGCCTGGGAATAAGCGGCAACAAATATTCTATATTGTCTTGCTCTTGCCTTAGCAAATTGCGATCAGCGATGATTTCCGGTGACACCAAGTTTTGCGTGCATTTGTCTAGCATGATCGCTACAATGCTCACAGAAAGTCTGACGCTCTCTAGCCAGTTGACACGAGCGGCATCGCGAGTACTTTGGGAGTCATTTGGCTGCGATTGAGCGTACTCATCGAAACGGCCAAAGTGGGGCTTCAGCCACATCATCACGTTTTCCACCAATAAAGAGCGGGACTGCGCGTTATCGAACAAGAAACCCTTGACAATCTGCAGATACATGATGAGCTTCCATATCACAATCTTGCCCTTGGTTTGCGCGATCGCACTCGCAAATGTCGTAGCGATAGTGACCAGTTCGACGATGCCGAAAACCCTTCCAAGTTCTGGGAGAACGGAAGTGAAGTGCTGGAGGGCAACGGTCTGCGTCCCAATGATAGATGGTGGTGTCGTGGCAGACATCATATGGGTCACCTCGTTCAGGATGGCACGCAGATCGCGTTTGAATGCCGCTTCAAGATGTTCAGCAGTAGCTCCACCACCAACGCCTACTTCCTTAGCTCTTTGCAACTCTCGGGACCGAATGATGAATTTGAAGATGTAGTGCCCGACTTTGAGCGCCGATCGCAACAACGATGCCGTTTCCGTAGCCATGGGACTTTGCAGCAGCCGGCTCATCGAGTGCATGATGTGAGAGGATGCAGCTGCGTAATGGAAGTGTTTCTCGATATACACATCCAAAACTGGCTGGAAGTTGCTGAATCGACGATCTTGAATAATCCCTAGTACCGTGACCAGCGCATTGAACACAAGATGGTCCATTTCTCCCGAAAGATTGTGGGGCGACACGAGTATGGCAAATAAAGCGTCGAAGATGTCGCGCAGGAACTTGACAATCTCCACTTCTCCCACATAGGCAAACTTAGCCAAGACGGTGGGGAGAATCTCTTTGCCCACTACTTTGTCCCAGTTGAGCAAGCTGAGCAGTACTGAATTTTGTGTAAACTTGGTGGAGCATAGAGACGAACGGATGGTGAGTGTGTCCCGGGTTGGCGGCGCAAGCCTCTGTAGCTCAACGGGTACGAATACTTGTTCTGGCCTTGAATTGGCAGGCACCCAGGGAGTAGCCGCGAGGTAAAGCTCGGTGCTGATCTGACTCAATCGGTCGGCTCGGTAAAGGACTAGAGTATGAGCACCATCTTCCAAGAATGCACGACCATCCGGGAAGAGCGGCAGGAATGCAAACGCAAACGGTCGTTCCGACGTCGCAGTCGACCGTCCTCCAGCGCCACGGAACCGGAACGTGAAGAAGAGGTGCCACTGTTGCACATTCTCGAATGGGAGCTGGAGCTTGACAAGTTCATTGAACGTCGGTTGGTTCGTACGCTGGAAGACCATGGAGTTGAATTGTGTCATTTCCGGCTCTCCGCTGCATTGTGAGATAGCACGCTCGACAGTCCGTCCATCTTTATCGCGAACCTCAATCGTGACCTGAACGTTCCCAGCGTTCCCCGACTGACCTCGCCCGAAACCCGTGAAGTTGGCGACGCTGGACCTGTTGTTCTGCGAAGATGGAAAGTCACCACTCCACAGCTTGACATACAGATCATTACGCACGTCGCCAGGAAAGACGACGTCAGGGAATCCTAGCCGAAGACTAAGCGGGATGTCCTGGAGTAGCGAAGTGTTTTCCCGGACGATGGTCTCCGCGTCCCCATAGAAGATCTTGATCGACACCGCCATCATCTCCGCTCTATCACACACGAGTCAACTACCCGACGTAAATAGAAATAGCGAAACGAACCTGCTCGACTTCTCATACTCCTTCGTGTTGTTGTTTAGGATGTCTTGGTGCAGCATGGAGAACGTCGCCTCGGTCTTGGGCACATATATGGGCATGGTGTGCTCTCTGGTAGCCGAGACTTCAGTCTGTTCGGCAGCCATCGCAGCGAGCTGGGTGAGTTCAAGGATCGCGCAGCCGAACGGCCGTCGGAATTGCGGTGCGGAGTCGGACGAAGAGCCTCCACGAGAATCAGGATCGTAAACATTCCCACTGATCTGTGCACCATTTGACATAGAGGTCTCAGAAGCCCGTCTCCTTCCCTCCGGAATAGAACCCATTGTGCTGCCCATCTTCATCGACCCATTCCGCACGATCTTACACACCAAGAATATCGACTCCTGGGCATCCGATTGTACAAGGTCCGTGAATAGTGTTCGTATACGGGCAGACGGGTCACGAGCAAGGACACCATTGTGGTTTAGAATGGCGCAAAACTCCTCCGAGACAAAGCGCGAATCGTTCCTGTTGTATAGGGAGAAGATTAGCTCTGCAGTTTCCCCTGGCGCACACGGAGAGGCAACAAATGCGCGTAAATCGAGGAAGATATGATAGAACTTGGCCTTTGCAGGCTGGGGAGAACTCGGAGATGCCAAAGAGCCCAAGATGCGCAAGGGTGCACGGTTGCGCGAATATTCAGGGAAGGCGGATGGTACTTGCGACGTCATGGAGGTGGAATAATCGATGGACATGCTTCTATGCGCCGACCTGTATGGGTGTGTGGAAGGCGAGACGTCCATAAATGCAAGAGACATTGTCATGGCATACATTCGCACTGCACTCATCCAGCTCCGAGGGTCTATCTCACCTTCCACATCAACCGTAACCAATCCGCCGCCAGTCGGGTGCCGCACAATGATGTCCAAACCCTGCACAAGATTCCCTGCCACTAGTCGTGCGACGCACTCCCGTCTGAGATTGTCAGTTTCATCTGAACTCAGCGTTTGAGCGAGCAGCTGTCGGCGTCCCAGATGAAGCGCCTCGATGTGCTCACGCACGATGTGGAAAAGCTTGTAGTCTCGGCGTGCAAGGTACTGGAACATGAGTACATGCCATTCGCGCAGAGCGGATGCAATCTCGTCGATTATTGGCTGCTCTGCACCCGATGCTGTGTCGTCCCCGGACTTCAGCGACGGTCGTGGAGGAAGAGGCTTCATTACTCCTGACTCCGTAGGAGACGCAGATCGTACACTGGGTGGGTAAACGGGTAGTCGGGCGCGCGTAGAATTGGCCTGATCAGGAGGAGGCGCAATCTTGAATGATTTCCTCGAGAGTCCATCTTTGATTGAAAACCCGTCCTTCATTGAAAAACCATCTTTCATCGAGAATCCATCTTTCATAGACAATCCATCTTCTTCCCTCGGAGTGGCTGCACCACTCACAGTCTTGTCTCTCATCCACGGACCATAGAGATCTGATTGGTGGCCATTGGGCCCAGATCTGATCGCAGCTGCAAGCTCTGCCAGGCGGCCTTCCGCGTCTGAGAGCTCGTCGCGGACGAATATGTGAGAGGCCGGGAAGATGCCTATATAGACTTGCTGGGACTCGTCAGCCTTGGCGGCTGCTCGCTGAGCTGAGCACGATGGATCCGAGACCATCGCCCAGTTCACTTGAGATCTGCGAGAAGGACAGACAACATAGCTTCGAAACGTCGTCAGGACGAACAGTCAATGGACCAGGTGAAGGAAAACACACCCTCTATACCAGACGCCCTCTGCCTCCTTGTCCCTCGGGGTATATTTCTCGAATGCGTAAACATTGTCGCCGACTTCTAGGGCTACGACATCCCTGTGGACGAGATGTTCTTCGCCTGAGGCATCTGTGGTGCTCGTGAAGGTCGATACACGGGTGCGACTCGAAAATTTCGTATCGCGACGGTTGGGTGAGAGCGGGTGGGTAGCGTAACCATACACTATGAGTGGTAGAGGCTCCCATGTGCCTCTTCTCTGCGCCATTGGCGGTCCTGCGGTGCTTACCATGAGTGCGGTGGCTCGCCGCTTGATGCCGTACGGAGCGTTGTCGACTGAGCTACGCCAGCGCTCGTAGACCGGTGAGCTGTCTGGCCTGCCCCAGCACGATGGAATGTGAGAGCAGAAAACAGAAAGATTCGAGGAAGGCAAAGACAATTGGGCGGTGATGCTGGAACCACTTGTGATTCTGAGCGCCGAGACTTATCTCATCTCGATTCTCATTTGAGCTCGTTTTATTATCCTTCCGACTCCAATACATCAGACAAACCTTCATCAACTTTGTCCGTCTCCATGACCGAGGCCTATGGTATGCCATAGCACCGCGAAGTTTCTACTGCTAAGCCCAGTCCATGGCCACTGTAGCTCTCAAAAAATAACCCGATCTAAGAGCTGGTAAGATTTCCGAGTCGGAGCAATGCCATACGATGGCACAGCTGATTGGCAGTAGAGCAACGGCTGCACAGCCTGTCCATGGCAAATCACAGCTTGAGCGCGGGCGTACTACTAGACCTCTGGACATATGCCGTTCATTTAAGGGGCCGCTAGTAGTGACCGACCTTCCAGTACTGCGCACCCACTTTCTCAGAGGTGTAACTCTAGTTCCAGCAGAACATGATCAGGTCTGCAGTTCATTCTCTTTCCTATATAATCGTTTCCAATGTGTCAATTTACAAGGGTGACGAGAAATAGCGCTGAACTTATTTCTCTCGCTCGAGATATGGACCTGGCCCCACCATAAACATACCAGTTGCTGTATCGATACACATTGTGATAAGCCCAATTGGCCTGTGTCATTGCGTTGTGCTAGTCTCATTGACGGCAACGCTAGGAACCAAGTGCAGCCTTGTGGGATTTAGACATGCATATCCGAGTATGTATACATAGCCAAACATATTGTAGTGGTTTTCAACTCTGAAATGAACATCACTAGCCAGGTGTTTTGCCTCCAGACATAAATTAACACGCAGTAAGGATGTAGTAGTGATTGAGTGGTAAACATTACCCGACGAATGGTACAGTAAACACGGCGCTCTAATCCCTCATGGCTCAGCTCAAAACTTGCCCGCACCGTTGCTAGCAACCAGCAATACACGATGCCGGAAGGCATCCTCCTCTCCGTCTACGCTTGAAAGCCACGATTCTAAGCGCGCTTCCCAAAGCTTGGGTGAGAGGCCTTCGGTAATGCTTAACAAAAGGACATTAGTGAGGGCTGACAGCAGCAGGTACGACGACACGCACATTCCTCGTTCCTCAATAGCATCACGCAATTCAGCGTGGCTGAGCATCTTGCCAAACGACTCGTGCCTCAACAGCGCATCGTCTTGTGCAATCGCGGACAAATGTTGGCGTAGACGCCGCATCCGTAGTGCGTTTGGGCCCAACGTCGACAAGGACAGAACTCTGTGGGGAGCCAGAGCTCTCAGTGCGCACGAGAAAGGATATGATGTTACTCACCCGTTCAGGGCAACGAGGGTGGGCTGGTCGAGCAGGGCCGCGACAGGGGTGGCCGGGCTGGCGAGCATGCGCGCGCGCAGCCTGTCAAAGAGCGGCTTGCTGGCGAGTACACGAAGCCTTTGCTTCTCGCGCCGCTTGGCGTCGATACGCTCCTTCTGCGACGGGAGGAGGCACGTCGAGGGGAGCACAAATGGCGCGTAGAGTACGACAAGCGGGATGATCTCTTCGATGATGATAATCATAAGTAGGAACGGGACAAGTCTGTGGCACCGGTGCGCTGAGCGAGCGTAGGACAGAAAACGGAGCGGGGACTTACTTGAGCATGTCACGGTGGTTCGTCTGAATAAACTTGGTCTCCCAGCGCGAGAGCGGGGCACCACCGGCGCGGACGCGCGCCTCGATCGTGCGTACGCGGCGGCGGTTGCTCGCGATGAGCTTTATGCCTCGCCAGTAGAATTTCTAGCGTAGATGTTTTAGCTTTGTGGGTCTCGGGGTGCGGGCCAAGGACGTACGAAGAGCTCTTTGGCTTGGTGCCAGAGCTTGCCTGCCCACGACGCGTCCGCGGGTGGGGGTGCGAGGATGCCGTGCTGGGACGCATCCTCCATGTCATGCTTCGTCGTCTCCACGAGTGACTCAGTCTTTGCAGGCGCGGGCGACTGCGGGGCGGGCGGGCTGGAAGATGCAGGTGCGACGTCGGTCACCGGAAGCGGTGTCTTCTGGGTCTTGATAGGACCTGGTCTGAGTTCAATCTTATGCTTTCTTGCAGTGATGGAGGGTGAGGGGGGAGGCTCCAGCACACCATCTGTCGACTTGGGTGTTGTGCTGGGCGGCGTGGACGAGGAAAGCAAGCGGGCAGCGAGTGGACGAGGAGACGACGTTACGGAAAACGGAAACCTATCCTGGACCACTAGGACCGAATAATTTGCATGCCTCAGCCGGTGGTGAAAAAGAATCGCATTCCGGTGATGCCTCGTAATTGCAAGACTGGTGATTGGCATTTAATGCCACTAATCGTAAAATGAACAAGAGGCTGCACCTTTCTACCAAGCCATTCCGCCCCAACGAAGAAAGCATACACGCAAAATCAGCCGTTGCCTACAGATTTGGAGGACGCTGGTGGCAAGCAAGACGAAGAAGATAAGACCAACGATAGAAACAAAATCACGAAGAGCAGAAAGAACGGGTTGGCAAGAGACGCGTGTGGGCTCGGCGCCGCCGCCGCCCACGACACGCGCTCCTCACCGACTAAAGTGGTCGCCTCCATTGGCCGCCTCAGGCTCTTCAACAACTTTCTTCTATTCATCCACGGGGAACCCAAGGGCATACCAAGGTCCAATCTCGCTGTCTGCATTTGCTCATCTATACACGTCTGCAAGCATGACCTCGGCAGCTGTATGCGACCCTCCTTGCGCTCAGCGGCCTGCTACCCATAGAATCATCGACTTATGATGACCACGGTATAGACCACACGGGAGAAATTCGGAGCAGGCCGTAACAAGGGCTACCTCCTGTTCGAGGGGAGCAGCGATAGCAACAAATTCTGTGAAGCAGGTACCGATCGCGCGAAATCACATTGTTACTGGCCATGGCTCTGCTTACAGTATGCTACACCGTGGTGGCTTCAATTGGTGCATTTGTAGCCCCGTTGGATGGACTTCATGGCTCTAGGTCTCTTGCAGGTCGGCCAAGTTGTCATGCAGGCTTATCTATATAAAAGCTCGATTGCGATTTATGCGAGATTTATGAAAGTTTGGGAACGAAGGTCAGAATAGCGGGAAGTACGTATCTACTCTGCTCGCCGAAGACGTCTCAAACGAAAGCAAGATTGAGTAGTTGGCCCCTAGCATATCACAATAGACAGTTCTTCGAAAGCTTATCCCAAGTCGGGGCAGTGATCTTGGGGTACGAATTTTTTCGTTCGGATATACAGCCATCGGATTTCTTAGGTGTGCGCTCGGTGCTAGTGGGATTAGCCATGATGAGCCCGAGATGTGCCTTGGTATCTTACATGCTGATATGTTATGATGATGCTACATTTTGTGATCTAGCTAATGCCAGTGCTTGCCACCCCCGAAGATCCCAGGGCGATAACACCACCGCCTTCTGTGCCATCGTCACCGACTCATGTGCAGGTGCTGCAGCATCCCCACTAGCGAGCGCCCGCGCGACTGCTTCCAGGTACAGAGACTTGCGGAGTTGGGTCAAATTGTCTTCCCGTGCTGCTGCAGATCCACCGAGGACTGCTAGTGCCCCGCTGCTTTCACCCTGCCGGAGCACCAGCGACGCCAGTTCCTGTCTGATATCGGATCGCGAGGGCTCTGCGACGGCTGCCTTCTGGGCGACCGCCAAAGCGTCCTGCGTGTTGCCCTGTTACATTGACGAAAAGATCGTGAAAAATTACGTGGATCACAGATATGAAACCACCCACCTGTCCGAGGTGATGCTGAACTAGCAGATATGGGACCTCCCTATCTGGATCTCGGCTGAGGCGTTGATCGAGCGGGAGTGAGACGATCTCGGACAAAGCGGCGTCGACGAGGCTATCATCGTCTGTTAGGATACCCATACCCGCTAGGGTGTTTATTGCCATCAGATTTTCGGAGTCGGCATTGATGCTGTGCTTGTATCAGTTGCCAATCTCGCCAGAAAGATCAGGGTCGTGTCCTCACCTTTGCAACAGCTGTGCCTTGGCGGACTCCCTTCCTTCTTCCGTGCCCATTGCCCACAGGGCTTGCGCGAGCAGAATCACAACGTGACCCCGCATAACTTGGTCATCCGCTGCGGTACCCATGGCCGCTTCAAACAACGATAGAGCCTCTGCGAGCTGACCGAGTTTGAAATTGGCCAGCCCCGAGCCAAATTGGGCCTGTGTTAAAAGAATTCTAGACGTACGGTCGTCGGGCTCTTCTGGAAGTAGTCCCATCACCGCCTGATAAGACTCCAGCGCGCCGTCGTAGTCTCCCAATGATATTCGCAGACGGGCCACGTTAGTATGTGCAATGGTGAAGCGTCTCTCAATTGTAGGATCTTCTGAATCTTCATACGCTGCTTCTAGAAGAGTAATGGCACGAGTGATCATCTCTACGCCGAGCTCAACGTGTCCGATCCGTTCACACACAAGCCCGAAAAGGTGTAAAGCCGACGCATCTTGAGGGCGTTCCCTGCAGAACCTATCAAGGACAAAGAAAGCGGGGGAGAACGCATCCGTCATAGATGAGCTGGATGGGTGCGCCGCCATGTTCAGCCTAGAGAAGAGACGTTTTGCAAACTCGATATCCGCTTCGGGCTGAGAACAATGAGTAAATTTTGATAATGCATGATACCGTAATTTCACCCACCACCGGTGCGGACAAGCCGACTGCATGTTCGAAGAGTGCCCTAGATTCTGGACTGTGACCATTGAGCGTAGCGACAAGCCCTTGTCCGACCCATGCGAGAGCGTAATCGGGATCTAGGGTTTGAGCCTTATAGAACGCTTCGTTTGCAAGCTCCCCATCCCCGTAGTGCAAGTAGAATAAGCCTAAGTCGGTCCATGTCACGGTACTCTACAGTAAATATCTTCAGCTGCAGTCAAACCAGAGATCTCAGGTCATACCTTAGAATTGATGTCGAGAGCCTTGACATATGCATGCTGAGCGATTTTGGGTTGACTCTCTGCAGTGACATTACCTAGAGCATGCCAATACCGATCGTTACCAGGCTCCATCTTTATCGCTTCTTTAAACTGGTTGATAGCTTCTTGTCGCGCTCGTTCTCGCGCTTCGTCGAGCTGAACTTTGTGAAAATAAGCAAACAACGCTGATCCCAGGTCAAAATGAGCGCTTCCACTTGCGACGTCGTCTAACAATCCTAGCGAAATACGATACTCATAGGCCGCAAGAGCAATCTCGAGGGCCGTCAGAGACAGTCTGGATGGATCATCCAGGCTCACAGGCGAAGCAACAATCCCAGATAGCGTCTGGCTTGGGTGCTCAGTAACCAAGGGTGCCATTTGTGCTAACACATCTCGCACGAAGTCTTCGTCCATGTATGAGTTAAATTTCGAGAGATGGAAGACCGCATCGGCAGCAGTCTTCCAAGCAACACGGCGGAAGCCAGGGCTAGCAGCTACGAGCTGGAGTGTTGTATGAATGGAAGATGCGAAGGATATTTCTGCTCTTGCCCAATACGCGGTAGCAGCTTCGGCACGACCCAAGTCGAAGTAGGCTTGGCTCAGAGATGCAAGGACACCTAGCTCTGACGGCTGCTTTTGAAGAATATATTCGAACGCTTTGATGGCCCCTCCAAAGTCTCCCGTCTGCCGCTGTACTTCACCAATGAAGTAAGAGCATATCCAATCGGTAGGATCAAGTTCACGAGCACGCTCAAGCGCCTTCAGAGCGGCTGCATAACGTCCCGCTTTGCTATAAGCTTCTCCCAAGCGTAACCAGGATAATTGGTCTTCCCCATCCGTCCGGAGCGCAATCTGCAATGCCTGAATAGCGGGAGAGTAATTTTGGCGGTTCTGGTCGAACTATAAGCACGTCTCCGACAAGAAAAGAAAATAGGCTCACAAGTTCAACCACACCTACAGCCTTCCAAGCCCAAGCGTTGATAGGCAAATACCGAGCTGTAACTGTTCCACCTTCCAGACCGCCTTCGCCGTCGATTGTTCGCCGGGCAACCACCTCGACAAGATCCCACTCACGTTCCTCGGCAAACCCTTCTGCCAGCCTACGTGCAGCATTTGTTTCGCGAGGATCGAGTTCAAATGCTTTCTGGAAACATTTAGATGCTCGGTTCGGATCAGGTGGGGACTGGAATTCAGAATAATAAATCCCAAGCGCGGTGAACGCTGGCGCGAACGTTGGAGATCGTTTCAACGCTGTAATGAAGTGATGGTAGGCCTCTTCGCGGCGATCGTCTGGACAAGGGGTCAGAATAGGTCCGTTGGGCGTAGGGAATACTCCTACCTCCCATGTCCCACGTGCACCTTCCAAGTCGCCACCAACATCGCGCTCTGTCTTCATTCTTATCCTCTAGGGTGTCCAGAGTAGAAATGACATCACGCAGCTCCGTGGCAGCCGCGTCAAGATTATGACAATTCACAAGACACCAAGCATGCTCTTCTTTCGCACGAATTCCGTCCCCTAAGTCATCTGGTAACAGCGCCGCGATTTTCTTGAATAATTCCCCCGCCTCAGCCCACTTCTCTGCGAATTCGAGGACATACCCGCGTCCCATAAGACATGGAACGTTGTCGTGGTCAGTGCTGAGAATCTCATTTAGTATACCAAGTGCACGGGCATGATGTTTCGGAGGGTAGTAATGAACTAAAGAAGAAGCCAGGACGACGTTGAAGGCCTTCCTGACCCTAATCATGGCATAGTTAGTTCCATTCGCCATCAGCATACAACGAGGAACCGGCTAAACACACAGGGGAAGTGGCCTATCATTGCTTTGCTCGGCTCGAAGAACGAGTTCGAGCCCGCTTTCTGCTACCTTGATCGTATTCTCTAAGTCACCCTCATTATCATACAATTCAGCAACAATCCTGTGAGCGATGATGGAGTCTTGTAGGTTGCCGAAGGCGTCCTGTGGAAAGAGATGACTTGTGTGCTAAGTTGAAAAACGCAATACGAACAAGGATCGTGTCGATATGATCATTATCCTGGTCTTGCTTCCGTTGTGGTTGTGTTTCTTCGTCGTTGTGGTTGTTGAGAGGTATGTCCATGTATCCAAAATACCCCACCAGGAGGTCCGCCCACGGCGAAGTAGGGAATAGCTCAATAAATTGGCGTAAGATGGTCAGATCATAGCCCTCTGGATAATTCAAGGGTGAGGATTATTCTGATGTTAATCCAAATGAACCGACCAATTTTCTCAGCATCTTTCCCCTCAATGAAGAGTGTCCACGCCAGTTCATCTTTGATTTTAAGCAGCACCATACCACCAATCAAATCTTCCAATTCGGCTGTAATCTTCGCTTTTTGTGGTGAAGAGGGCAGGATACGCATATGTTGTAGCTTATGCCGCAAGAGCTTGGCCTCCGTCTCCCGACGCAACTCGTCAGATGTGTTGGGATGTCTCATAATCTCATCGTACAGATTGGGGAGCTAAATGAAGCAGGGTTACTTTATTGTGGCCAAGATATGGGGCCTAGATGGAGTTTACCTTCGAGGCTCCTAAAATCTCTCTGCCAACCTCTTTTCGTAGTTGCTCTGGACCTGCTGCACCGAGACGTGTCCTCCGCTTGGCCACTTCCGAGTCGATTGTCTCCGACTCCTGTTTCTCATAGATAGAGACGATCTCCTCTAGCACGGGCAGTGTGTTATGTATTGCCACTTGGATAGCACGGATAGCCGTGGACGTTGGATTGGTAGGATCAGGAAGGGGCAATGTGGACAGAACTGCGTACAGCGATGAATCAACAAGTAGCAATGATAGAGCATCTGCAAGCTGCGACAGCTGTCAGAAAGTATTTGCAGCAGTGGGGTTTTTGTTAATCACCTGGATGGATGTGCTTCTGTCCGGATTTCGGCGCAGGTCAATTAATTTTTGTAAAGTCTCAGCACATTTTATTGCATCACCACTATGGAATAGGATAAGCTGTGAATTTGATGTTCAACCGATACTATTTGAAAACTTACGCCTTGGAGAATAAACGCGCTAGATGCTCGAGAGTCTCAGCATACTTGACCCAGTTGGCAGCCTGCTCATACAGCTGTAAAAGGCCCTGAAATTGGAATTATTAGTGTGGATGTCTGTTTTACGCGCAAACACATACCTGCCACGCCAATGGCTGGTCGGGGCTAGAAGCAGCCGCCTTTTGGTATGCCTAGAGGCAGTGGAATGGTCAGTGACCAGTACTTAGAGAATGTTGCTTCGCGTTACTTGCTCGCTCGATTCTATTTGTTTCAAATTTAGGAGGGCTAATCCAAGGAAGACGTTTCTGCGCGCAATGCCTTGATACTAAGACAAAGATCTTCCCAATGGGTGACACAACGATTCGGACGTACGCATTGTAATTTTCAGGCTCGTATTCCAGCACTTCCGTAGATGTATCTCTGGCTTTTTCGTAGTCCTTCTTTCCAATTGCTTCTCGCGCTGCTTTCAACTTCCCTTTTGCAAAGGTAGACATGAGTCGTGGGGAACTCTGCTACGAGGATCACCAATGTGAGACTTCGGGATTCTGAGTAGACGAATTGAACCCAGACACGTTGGATTTCAAAAACAATGTTATGCTACAATTCAATGCCAATATCATGAAGGCTTCTGCGCATATTTCTGCTGTAACTATTCACCCACCTCGCGCCTCCTGTTCTTTCAACACCAGAGTTAGAGCAAGTCTAGACAACCGAAAGTGAATATTTGGGATCGCGGTTCAGATGGAGGTATCTAGCGAAGGTATGTGCTATATTATTCAGAGTGTAGCTCAGTGGTCTGTTGGTTGCAGTGATTGAGAATTTGCTCGAAGAACTAAGCGCCCTGGACGACGAGCG